GCAGGTTCGTTCCGCGCTGGCCCGGCGGCGGCCCCGGCGCGGCAGCTCGGGGTGGAGCGCCTCCAGCACGCGTCCCACCACCCCCACCCCCACCACCACTTCACCACTTCACCACTTCACCACACCACCACCACCACCACCACCACCACCACCACCACCACCACCACCACCACCACCACCACCACCACCACCACCACCACCGTCACCACCCCCAGGGGGGGGCATCTCCAGCGAGGAGGTCCACGATGCCTCTCAGAACTGAGGACAGGGGACGTCTCGAGCGAGAGGGGGACCACACCACCAGGGGGACCCCCCCTTGGCTCCTCCCGAGGGTGGTCCGAGGTTAGATTCAGCATCGGCGCTGGTAGATCTGTGGTCGACAACAAGCCAACCTTGCGCAATTCCGCATAATCCTGGGCTTCATCTTGGGCTTAAGCTGGGCTGATCACGATCAATGGCACCTTGATCGCGCTGAATAGCCCTAGATCGTTCTTACGAGAGTATCTCATGAGTTGCTTCCTAAGGCACCAACTGCCCGCACCGCACCTTCAATAAGCAGGAGGGCCGTCTACGAAGGCCGACCCCCGACTCTGCACCCCCTTGTCCCTGAGATCCGACGTTCCGACACGATCTGAGCCGTAGACCCCATCTTTCTGCGGCATCTTTCGAGCCGGATGAATCCTGGGGCCCGAAACTGTGCGAAAACGCCCGGCGTGAAAGGTGCAACGCCCAGATCTCAGGGGGCTGCACGACTCCAAGAGGAATGGATGCGCGGAGTGATCGACGAGGCCATCGCCGCGGCGGCGGCCGCCATCGAGGGACGGCTGCGCAGGGTGGAGCAGGCGGTCCGGGACCTGAGCAGCGCCCAAGTGGCCGCGGGCAAGCGGTGCGACCAGGTGGTCGCCGCCATCGCGGAGCTCCGGGCGACGGCAGCGACCACCTCGGCGGCGGGGGCGGCCGCCGCCGCTGTCCAGGACCCGAGGCTCGCCGCCGCCTCCGAGGGCCAGGAGGCTGGCCCCCAGGAGCGCAGCCAGGGCGCCGCCGCCGCCGAGGAGCTCGCGGGGCCCCCGCGGGGGTCCGCCCTGGCCGTCGCCGCCGCCGCCTCCGAGGGCCAGGAGGCCGGCCCCCAGGTGCGCAGCCAGGGCGCCGCCGCCGCCGCGGAGCTCGCGGGGCCCCCGCGGGGGTCCGCCCTGGCCGTCGCCGCCGCCGCCGAGGCGGCCCCGCAGGGGGCCTCGGAGGCGGCGTCGGGGGTGGCCTCGGGCGCGCCGCACGGGGTCATCCCGCGGCGCGGCCGCGCGCTGGGCCGGTGGCGCAGCGGCGCAGGTGCCGAGGGCTCGCTGGCGGTGTCCTGGGACCTGGCGTCGGGCAGCCGCTCCGCGGTCCTCGAGATCGACGGGGTCCGCTCGTGCGCGGCCCGCGTGGTGGCCGAGCGGCACGGTCGCCTGGCGCTCGCCTTCGAGGACGTGGGCCAGCAGCGCGGCCTGGTGGAGCTGCTGGCCGGCCTGGGGCCGCAGCTCGTGCTCTCGGGGCGCTACGCGGGGCCGTGCGGCGAGGGCGTCTACTTCTGATGGGGTCTATTTTCCACCATCGCTACCGTAGGTAGCACGGGGGAGAGGGGAGGATGGGGAGGTCCTCCTCCTCCACCTCCTCCTCCTCCTCCTCCTCCTCCTCCTCCTCCTCCTCCTCCTCCTCCTCCTCCTCCTCCTCCCCCCTACCTGTGGTAGTTGTTGTGGGAAATCGGCCCATCAGCTTCGGCCCGTCGGAGCCGGGGACGCACGCAGAGGTCGCGGTGCTGACCAGCGACTTCGACGAGATCTCGGGGCTGCTCGCCAGCGCCAGCGGCGGCGGCCTCGTGGCGGTGCGGGCCGGCTGCGCCCGGGACGCCGAGGAGGTCCTGCGCCGAGGAGGCGTGGCCGTGATCCTGGACTCCCAGAAGCAGGCGCCCGGCGCCGCCGAGGCTCTCTGCCGCGGCTGGCCGGGCCGCGCGGTGATGCACAGCTCCACGCTGACATGTCGGAGGAGGGCCGGGGGAGACGCTGCCGGGCGCGCTTCCTCGAGTGCGGCCTCGGCCGGGGGGGCCGTGTTGTATAGGGCCCGGGAGCACTCGAGCACGGGTCCGGGGCGATCATTACACAGTCCACCATCATCGTAAGAGTAAGGCTGGGCAACGTTCCCCAGGGTACCCCTGCATCCTTGCCTCCTCGGCCCATCCTTGGCCACTCTCGTTGGCCGCGCCCCGGTCGAAACGGTTCGACATGGGCGTCCAAGGCCCGTGCATCCTTACCGCGCATCCTTACTATACGGGTTGACTGTAACTTGCCCCCGAGGAAGGGCTCGGGTGTTTTGGGGGGCCGCCGCGCACTGAAGAGCAACTCGTCGGATGTCTCGGTTTCCTGCCCCGCCGATAGTCAGCTCGAAATCTTGGTCTCTGGCCCCCCCTGCCCATGGACCGTCCTGGCAATTCTTTCGGGGCGGACCGATCTGGCAGTGGTGACGACGGGAAGCCTCCGGGAGGCCCACGAGACTCTCGAAGAAGAAAAATCGGCATGAACAGAAACTTTTGGCGCTCCGCGCGAGTCTCTTGGATCCGCGCTGGGCACCCCGGCGGCGACTCAAGCGGCGCCCCTGGCGCGCTCCGCGCGCCAGGGAGGGAGTCCAGCGCAGATCCAAGAAATCCGTTCGCAGCGCCAAAAGTTTATGTTTATGTGTTTTTCTGCTAGGCTTAGCATCGTCTGACCATCCCCACTGGGCCACGGTAGCCCCACCAGCCCACCCTCCTACTACCCGAGACAGAATTACGATCAGACATGTCACGGAGATTCCTTGTCGATGCGATGTCTTGGGTTTGCGTGACACTGCGCGCAAGGTACTTGATGGTGCCCCCTCTCCAAAGTCGGTCATCGAGGAACTTCCACGTTTCGTTTCTGCTTCGACATTGAAGGGGGCGACATTGAGTGGGTGAAAGGGGGCGTCATTGAAGTGGCGCGCCAATCATTTTGGGAGTTAATTTCGCGGAGGGTTGTAGGTGGGGATAGGCCGCGCGAAGTCCGAAGGAACATGCATACATGATCCCGGGTCGAGGGTTCAGAGTCTCCCCCCAGATAGGACGGGGGGGACGACGACGACGATGACGACGAGGACGACGCATACGATGACGACGACGCAGACGCCGACGCCGACGCCGACGACGACGCCAACGCCGACGCCGACGGACGACGACGACGACGACGACGACGCCAACGCCGACGCCGACGGACGACGACGACGACGACGACGACGACGACGACGACGACGATGACGACGGAAAACGACGACGACGACGACGACGGAAGACGACGACGACGACGACGAACCACCCCACACCCACGGGGTCGGGGAGAGCACTGGCACCCTCCACCACGCCACGCCCACAGGGCCCCGACCACAGCAGGGTGGGTGGGGGAGGAGCGATCCCATGCTCGAGGCCTTCGCAAGGTTCGCTGGCGTACCCATCCTGCGGGAGGGGGGGGGTGGGGAGGCTCGATCCCATGTGCATTGGGGGGGGGGGGCAGCCCTGCATCATGTATCCCCACCTGCGTGGGAAAATCGGCCAATGAGGCCAAGGCCAGGCTCGACGATGCCCCGGCAGGGCGGGGCGAGGAGCGCCAGGGAGGCCCCCGCCGTGCATTCGACCTGGCCCTCCTTCGAGGCGTGGGACGAGCTCAGGCGGCAGCTCGCGTACGACTGGGGCGCGCGCTGCGTCGCCTACCGCGCCCCAGAGGCCGCCCTCGCCCTCCCAACGGGGTCCCCGCAGGTGGGGTCGGAGGGCCGCGCCGCGCACCGCCGATGCATCGGCGATGCGGCTCGATGCGGTGCCTGGTGCTCTCCGCGCTGGACGTCGCCGATGCGCCGCCGCCGCACCGCCGACGCCGCGCCGATGCTCCGGCGGCATCGGCGCGACCGCCGCAGCCCATTTTGGGAGGCCTCCGGAGGCCGCCCTGGCCGCTGCGGCGCTCGGGGCGCGGGCGCCGCCCCCGCCGCTGGCGGAGGGCTCGGCGCTCGTGGTCGGCATCAGCGGCCCGAGCCGCTCGGGGAAGAGCACGCTGGCCGAGGCGCTCCTCCTCTGCCCTCTGCGGTGTCTGGCTCGCTCCGTGCAGGCCCCCGGTGCTCCCAGGCGCGGCCGAGGCGGTCGCTGCCCCCGGCGTGCACGGGCCCTGCCTCCCCCCGGGCCTGGGCCCTGCAGAGAGCGGACGGCTGCGGGCTGCGCCCTCCAAGGTCTGGGACTCTGGGGGTAGGTAGGGTGTGTGTGTGTGTGTGATTGTGTGTGTGTGTGTGTGTCTGTGTGCGTGCGTGCGTGCGCCGCCGCGCGTCGCGGACGAACCCTGCTGCCTCTCGGCTTCTGGTCGGTCGCGCGGTGTCTGATTCTCCAGAGGGGGTTGACTCCGAGCCGGAGCTTCACTGTAAGGCTGGCTGTTGTTTCTTTCGCGGTGCTTGGGGGTCACTTGGAGGGTCTTTCGCGCTGTCGTTCCCTCAGTTTTCCTCACTTGGGGGCCACGAAACGCTTGAGAGGTGTGGCGCAACGGTGATGTCAATAACGATGGGAACAAGTTGAAGGATGGTGCTGACGACGATGACGAGGACGACGAGGATCAGGATGGTGCTGATGACAAGGATGAGGAGGATGTGAGGAGGAGGGGGAGGAGGAGGCGAGGAGGCGGGGCGCGGCACTGCGAACTCAGAGCGAGGATCCAGCATCCCTCGTCTCCCAAACCGTCGCGCTGCAAACATACCACACAGCTGTTGGCGGCGAGCGAGGGGGTG